AGCTCATCATTGGCCTCAATGAGATTTACTAATTAAATGAGACACTTTTATTCTGAATATCCAAGAAGTCCCTGTTGACATCCAGAGCTGAGAAGTATTAATAAGAAGAGGTAGTCAAGCATGAGAAGATCTGAAAGTAGAATGTTCCAGGCAAAACCAGCTTCCTTAATGCTGAGGAAGTGGGGTAGAATTGAGTATGCTGTTTCTGAAGAAGAGAAGAGCTTTTGTCCTGAGTGGAGTGCATAGCTGCAGGATCTTAACAGTTTACTTGGTTGAAGATATTCCTTTCTGTTCCTGATTTGGTGTGCTTTTAATTATGAATAGGTAATGAATTTTATCAGCATTCATTAAATTGATCATGTTTTCGTTTGAGTTAATTTCCCACAATTCACTTAATTTTGCACTCTCAGAATAGTTACAGCCTTTTGATGTGTTGCTTGATTTGATTCTCTGATTTAATATTTTCGCATCTAGTTTGCTTGCAAAGGATATTTGTTGTTTGAATGTTTAACCTACAGGTAAAATCATCTTTGCTCTTGGTATTTTCTAACTACTGATGTAATTTTTTGTTTTCCTAATTATGATTTGGTTTACATACCAATGATGGGATTACTCAGACTTTCTATTTTTTCTTGAATCATTATTGTATTTATAGTTTATTAATGGTTTGTCTTGTGTGTAACACATTTTTGGGGGAGGATACCAGGGATTGAACTTGGGACCTTGTACTTGCAAGGCACACGCTTATGTCGCTGAGCTGTCTTCCCGGCCCAGGTAACACATAATTTTTTTATCATCTCTAGTTTCATTCATTTCTTTTTTTTTTTTCTGGAGACACAGTCTCAGTATGCAAGCTGTCCTTGAACATTGTTATGTAGTCCAGGGTGGACTTTTACACTAATCCTGCCTTAGGCTCCCAAATCCTGAGATTATAGGTGTGCATCACCACACCTGGATTCCTGTCTTTTTGTTTTTGTTTTTTTGAGGCATGGTCTTACTGTGTAGTTCAGGTTGGTAGGCTGCCCTTGAACTCAGAGGTTTAGCCCAGCCTGGCCTTCAACAAGGATTCCCTTGCCTAGCCTCTTAGTTGTATACCACCATACTTGACTCTTCGTGTCTTTTTTTTTTTTTGTATTTTAGGGAGGGGTCTGCAGGGTGTTTAGGGTCTCACTACTAGATAGGACTCCTAGTGATCCACCTGTTTACAGCCTTCCAAGACCTGGGATTGCAGGCACACCACCATGCCCAGTCTCAATTGCCGTATCTGCTCGCTCTGGGGGTGGGACTGGCCCAGCAGGCTGGGGGATCAAACCCCCGGCCCCTGCACCTGCTTGCAGGTGCTTTAATCTGCTGAGCTATTTGGCCAGCCCCCATGTCTTTTTTTTTTTTTTTTTTTTTTTTTTTTTGAGTACAAATTAGAATTAAAACAGGAAATTACAAGTGATACAGATTTTTACTTAAATACGAATTTCACACTATTTGTTGTAATACGTGGTATTGTCTTCTAGACAGTTATTCATATTACCAGATATATGCATGTGAAATTGGAAGAAGAAAGAAATATATAAGAAATTAAGACAAAACGGAGAAACAGTTGGAAACAGGAGACGAAACAAATTAAAGCCTTAAATGCTTCTTTCCATAGACCAGAAGAAATGCACAGTACAGTTTTCCAAACTATCCTGCTTACATACAAATCTTTCCCCACTCCCTTTCCTGTCCGAGTGTTTTTAAAAATAAGGCTGTCAATACTCTTTCAGCAAACCAATTTTTACCTTCTTTCTTATATATCATGGTTCTCTAAAATTTATATTCTTGCCTACAACTAACTTATCCTTCCCGTGGGGGCTGGGGAGATAGCTCAGTGGAATAAGTGCTTCCCTGGCAAGCACAAGGGCCTGAGTTCAATCCCTGGTTCTGCCAAAAAAAAAAAAACAAACTTATCCTTCCCTCCTTCCCCTTTCCTTTTTTTTTCTTTCCCACTGTTCTCCCCTCTCCTTCCCTCCCCTCCCCTCTCCCCCACCTCTCCCCTCCTCTCCTTTCCTTCTCAGTACTAATACTGGGGAATCTTAACTCAGATGTACTCTACCACCAAGCTATAGCCCTAGGACTTTTTTTTTGGACAGAGCCTCACTAAGTTGCACAGGCTGGACTTTCAATTTCTTATGTTCTTTTTCTGATTTTTTGAAATGACATATAGTTACATTCTAACTTTTCTAAACATAAAGAAGTCACTTCTAATTCTAATGTAATTTTTTGTTGTATTTTTAGTATTCATTTCTTTGTTGTGTAGTAAAGTGTATAGTCTGTTTACATATATCATAATTCCCTATACTTTTTACTTATTTTTACTGTATTCTCATTATTTTTATTTATCCCACTCCTTGATATTTCTTTCCTCATTGGATTTTTCTTTTTGTGACAGGACCTCATTTTATAATTCAGGCTTGCTTTAAACTACTCATTATGTAGCCCAGGCTAGCTTTGAACTTGTGGAAATCTTCATTTCAACCTCCCAAGTGCTGAGATTACAATCCCAAATTTCTCATTGGATGTTTATTTTACTTTTCTTTCTATGTTTTCTTGGAGATTGTGTTCTTCTCATTTTTGTGGTGACTAGAGTTTTTTGATATAAATGGTTATTGAAATCTTCAGCTTTAGTTTAATAACTGAACAGTTAAAACCTTGCTTTGATTTTAACAACTTTGAATTTATAACCTTAAAATTTGATCTTGTTTAAACTCCTCAAAACATTATTAATAATATACTAATTATACTTTCAATGTCTGTTTAGGATTATCTCATACTTCTACTTCATTTTCATTTTTTCCTTTTTTTATTTTTATTTTTAGTACTATACCCTGAACCTTTATGCTTACTAGGCAGGCGGTCTGCTTCTGAGCTAAATCCTAATTCCTCTTTGTATTTCTTACCTTCGATTTGGGATTATTATCTTTTTGCTAGAAGGATATTTTCAAAAATTTTGCATTAATTTAAAATTTAAAAATTTTAAATTTTGCATTAATTAGGATCATTTTTGTTATTTTTCTCTATTGGAAGATGTATTTGCTAAGAATAAAACTATACTGATATCATTTTTCAGCATTCAAAATATGCCATTGTCTCTAATGTAAATCTAACCCTAAATTTCTTTGATAATAATCAGTCTCAAAATACTTTTAAGAATTCCATATGTTTGATGTTTTTACTTTCATATAGTATTTAGGTATAGATTTGATTATATTTCTTTGTCTTATATTTAGGAGTTTGCTAAATGTATGGTTTGATGTCACTCATCAATTCTGGAAAATCCTTCTCTGTTATCTTAAAATTCTGCCTCTGAACCATTCTCTTGTCTCTCATCCTTCTAGACAGATACTAGGCTGCCTAGGTCATCTATGTCTCTAAACATTTTTGATACTGTTAATCTTTGTGATTGTGTTGTTATTTCTTTGTTTGTGTTTCCAGTGAGGCTGGTTCTTTCTCTTCGATTGCTGTTATTTTTGTTGTTTTAAGGCGAAGTGTTGCTATGTAGTTCAGACTATCCTTGACGTCCCTGTGTAGCCTAGGCTGGCCTTGAAGCTTCTTTCTCTTTGAATGTTTTCTATACTAATTCTTTGAGAATAAAGGTAAATTTCTGCAAAAGAAAGTCTTACCAGCTTGTCAAAGACCATTGGATATTTAAAAACTAGGATCATAATTAAGATACACTTAATTCTCATCTGGGAGGTTATTGAACCTCTTAGGGCTATGTAACTTCAGGATACAAACCTATATGAGGAAGACTTGGGGTTCTCTTAGGCAAGACTTTCTGTGTTTCATAGTCTGAGACAGGCAGTTTTGTCTTGTTCCCAGTATTGATGGCACTGAAGTAGCTAAGAGTATATAGTTCTTTGGGGATGATGGTTTTCTTTTACATTCTCCACATAGAGTAGCTCTGTCTTTGGTCTGCATTCTGTCAGGAGTTTGTGAAAATGAACCCTCAGAGCCCTTGGATGGGCAGGTGCCCTCAGGTTGAAAGTCAGTGTCATTTTCTTCACTCTGGGTTTTCATCTGCACAAGGATGTTAGTCAGAATTCCTTTTCTTCATGCTAACTAATAAATGCATTTAAAAAGATAGTTTACTGCTTTTAGTTGTCTGTAACATCTGGAGGGTCAATAAGGGTATTTTACTAGTCATTTTGCTAGAAGTGAAAGTTTAAAACTATTTTTTAAAAATTTCTGTAGTCTTATCGTTTGAAGTATTCTGGTTATGATATAATTTTATATATACAACATTTACAAATTATTGTCATTCAGGCATTAGATACCAATAATTTATCTTTTTACTACATGCTGCTGATTCCCAGTGAAGAAGATGGATGAATAGATGGGAGGTGTGGAGCAGTAGTACTTCTAAAAGCAAGAAATAAGTAAATACCCTTCTTTCAGATTCTATATTGCTTAATGTTCCTTTATAGCCATGTAATGTAATTCTTTCTGAATTCAGAGTGGGGTACACATTGAGGAAATGATAGGGCCACCTGTCTGGGCAGGTCAATTTGGATTTCTGGAAATGCTTATGCAGGAGTGGTCTTCATTCAAACATTTTCAAAGTAAAGGAAAATTTAAGGGTTAGCTGTTATGTGTTTTAATACACTGAAATTATTCTGAATCGAGTTAGTGCATGTGTTTAAATAACATAATGATTGAAGGAGAAATAGCTCCAGATACGTGACTCTTCTGGTAGTGTTTGGGAATTAATATTGGCATTTGTTTTACTTTTATTTTAACATGTTAAATGATTTTGAATGTTGAATAGTAACTGACATGTAGTCAGGTATAGTATTAATATTAATAAGATGTTCAGGTTTCCTCTTGGGAGGGACCAATATCAAAAAGAATACAAATTATAATAGTATTATTCTGGCACCTTTGGTACAAGTGAATGTTGGAAATTTTATTTCTAAATTACTATGTGTGTTCTGAATATAAAGATTTCAAAATTATTTTTTAATTAGGTTCAGGACTTCTGGAAATCTTGTTATCACCCGTGAGATTGATGTGGCAAAAAATCAGTCTTCTTGGTCAATCAACAGAAAGTCTACAACCCAGAAAGTAGTAGAAGAGCAAGTTGCAGCCCTAAATATTCAAGTGGGCAATCTTTGCCAGTTTCTACCTCAGGTATACGAAAAATAAATGTAATCATGAGTAAATTTTATGTAAATGTATCTTCTTTATGCCATATAAGAATGTAAGTAGTTTTCAAAGGATAGTATACTGATTACTATCTATATTGCTACCTGTCTATATTGTACATAGTGTAGCACATAGCAGTATAGATAGTATGTTGACTTTTTTCCCCCCCTCTCTTTTTCCTCAATGAGGATTAAACCCAGGGTCTTCACAATGAGCTACATCCTTGGCCCTTTTTAACATTTTTGAAGACAGATTCTCACTAAATTGCCAAGTAGCCTAGGGTGAACTTGGATTTGTGAATCCACCTACCTCACCTTCCCAGAGTGGTGATTGCAGGTGTACCCATGGATGAGCACAGCAGCCCTCCTTATTTTCTTGTGTTATGGAGGATTGTATGTAAGCCTTTTGCGTTGAGCTGTATCCCCAGCCCCCTGATTATGGTTTGTCCTTATTTTGAGACAGGATCTCACTGAGTTATCTGATCTAGTTTTGAGTGACCCGCCGACCCTCCTCCCTTAGCGAACACTTGTAATCCTAATCGTTGAATGTGAAAGTGTCTCAGATAGTATGTTATTAATTTCATTAATAAAAGCATAAATTATAGTGCTTTATACCAAATAATTGTAATATTTTTAAGTATGTGAATAACTTTTAACAGCTATATGCTTCATTTGTAGAACCTTAAAATTTTGTTAGTAAATCTTGAGGGGATTTCACTGACCTTATCAGACCCAAAAGCTACAACTCTTGTTGCATAGGTCTTGCTTTATCTTGGTCTTAACCATCCAGCAGAAAAAGTATAAAAATGAAGTATAAGAAGTAAAGCCATGGTGTTATGTTGAGCTGTAGGGAACTCAGGTCAACAATTTCTGACGTTGCCAGTCAAGTGGAAGACCCAGTACTATTATGGACTACTGGACTCTTTTAGACTATTTTGCTGAGTTAACACACCTATAATATTCAAATAACGGAACTGAACAACAGAGGGGATATAGATGAATGTCCATTTTGTATCTGTATTCAAAATGGTTAGGATAGGGAGCCTGGCCCTAGCTCAGGCCTTTAAGTGGCTGCTTCCACAAAGCTGTCAGCCTCAGGTTGCTGGAGTTCGAACCTCACACCTCTCCAGCTTGCCAAAAGTGCCCTGAAGGCATTCGAGGAACAACAACAAAAAAAAGCCTTATTCCAAAATGGTTAGGATAGATATATAGTTACATTCTCTTAGAGGGATTTGTTCTAATAGTGTTTGTAAATAGGATATCATGTCTGCATCTTGTACAGCCATTAACCACTAGGAAGAATGTATGCAATGTGTTAATTATTGAAACTGTCCTACCAATTTGATTTGAAACTGTCTCATTGCTATTTGTTTCTCAATAAAATTATGGGAAAAAAATTTTTGTTAGTAAGCAGATTTTTAAAATCATTTTAATGTAGTTATATCAGATGCTTGATATACTAAAACTCACAGGTGTACCTGCTAAAATATTTCATGTCTTGAATTTGTTAACAAATGAATATGTTGATAAAGCATGTTAAAGTCAAATATGTCTTAAGTTGAATGTGTGATCATTCTGCCTTACCCTTTTGGGGAGGGCAGGGTACTAGAAATAAAACTCAGGACCTTACTTGCTGGGCAGGTGCTGCGCAACTGAGCTGTATATATGGCTCCCTGTCCTTGGCTTCTTAAAATTGCTGGGATTACAGGTATATGCCACCATGTCCAGCTCAACATAAAGGTTTTAAATTGAACCCTCCCCCCATTACTGGTGACTGAACCCAAAGGCCTTGGCACTGAGTGACATTCTCCCTGTTTATTTTATTATTTTATGATAGTGTCATTAATGATGCTTAGTTGCCCAGACTGGGCACAGACTTGCAATCCTCCTGCCTCAGCCTCTCAGAGCACTGGAATTACAGGCATTTACATCACCATGCCTAGCTGAGCAAGGTCTATCTTGACAAATAATTATTGAGTAATATATATTTTCATGATATTTATAAGTGATAATTGTTTGGGTATTTAATTTTTGTGCTCTAGGACAAAGTTGGAGAATTTGCAAAACTCAGTAAGATTGAACTCCTTGAAGCTACTGAGAAGTCAATTGGTCCGCCAGAAATGCACAGTTATCATTGTGAACTCAAAAACTTCAGGGAGAAAGAGAAACAATTAGAGGTATTTAGACAATTCATTTTTTTCTGTCCTTTTCTGATTTCTCTTTCAATTGTGAAATTAAGCAAAAACACCCAACACTTCCAAATTAAAGGTCACACAATTAGTAGGGGTTTCAGTCCATAGTCAGCTGACTGAAAAGCAGCATAGTGTGACAGAGGGGAAACAGTCAGTGGTAGGGCAGCTATCAAGCAGCAAGCTTACTTTCTTTGTGAACTTTTAGATTCCATCTAGGATGTATGTCTATTGATTAATACTACTCTCATCCACATCCAGAGTTATACTGAACTAGTTTAGTCATCACTCACCCTTAATCTCAGTGTCATTCACCAAAAGCTCCCACAATGAGTCATGAAGCTTTGGGGTGACATCTAGATCTAGGCTTCAAAAAGTAGTAGTAAGTGATATTTCTGTTCCATGAGAGAGGTATTTTTTATTTTGATTGCCTTTTTTTGTTTTAAAATCCAGCATTGTACTTGCATACATCAATTAAAATGACAAGAATTAGAACTAATTTGATAATGTAAAGTTTGAAACATTTTATTTCAGCAATACACATCAGTAGTTTGAGTTTTTAAGGAACCTTAATACTTTTTTTCTCTTAGGAAGTTACAATTCTGTCATTGTTAGTAGTTAATGACCTACCATGTGCCACATAGCATCTATGGTAGATAATACAGCAGATACAGATACAGTGTTTAATATACCTCTGTTGAATCAGTTTTCTCAGTGTACCTTTTTCAGTCTCATGAAGGAAGGCATTCTGAAGAGAACTTTATAAATTTAGTTGTGTTAAAATAGTTTTTAAAATTCTGAACCTTAAAAAATGTCCTTTTAAAGCATACTATTTGTATTGTTTTATTTAATGGATCTTTTTTCATATCCTTGAATCTAAAATAAATCAATATATTTTCATACTGAGAAACCCTATAACTATACTTTATAATGTATATTTAATGTTATGATTTTTTTTATACAATTCAATGGGGTTTCATTACCTGATAATGTTAATACTACTTTTCATTTGTATATCATTGGTAGGCTTTTGTTGAGCTTTCATTTATACAGTTTGAACATTCCTAATACAAAATATGAAATGCTCCAAAATCTGAAACTTTAGTGTCAAATTGGTGCTCAAAAAAGTTTGATTTTTTTTTTTTTTTCCCCTGAACATTGCTGCACATGACTATAATCCCAGCACTCAAGAGGTTGAAGCAGGACAATCAAGAGTTCAAGGCTAGCATGGACTACAGAGTGAGATCCTGTATTTAAAAAAAAAAAAAAAGTCAGATGGTAGAACATTTGAAATTCTGAGTTTTTAGATTAGAGATACTCAGCTGATAACATCTATGAAAATATTCCAAAATCTGAAAAATTTCAAAATCACGAACATCTCTGCCTCTGCATTTTGTATAAGAGATACTTAATCCTTTTGAACAAATTTCTTCTACCCCTGCGGTTGGTTGGAGAGTAACTTTTATCTTTAGGCAAGATAAGTCCAGACTCAGACATGTGTCTGAGTTTTCTTGCACTTATGTGATTAATAAACTGTAGAACCTCGACTAGAGTTTATATGTGAATATTAACTTTTTTCCACTTCACAGTTTACCCCAAGCATTACTTGGGCAGTGCATTCATTTAATTTATACACTGTCTTGAATATTGTTTGGTATGTATCATTTCAACCTATCAGTTCTTTGTAAAAGATTTATTTATTTACTTATTTGGTACAAGGTCTCACTATACAGCTCGGGCTCATAGTGATCCTCCTGTCTCAGCCTCTCCAGTACTGGGAATACAGGTGTATGCCACTGTGCCTGGTTTTGGTGACTGGCACGGCATGCGGTACCAGAGATCTTACTTGAGTCCTTGTACTTGCCTAGCAGGGTCTTGGACCTCTGAGTTATCTCTCCAGCCCCTCAACCCATCAATTTTTGTGTTGAATAAAATTTGATAAAATTGTCATTTTCTATTTCCTGTTATATTATTGAAATTAATGAAAAATAAGCAATTTTTGGTCATCCTTTATTTAAGTAATTGGACTGGTAATTTCTTAACTGAAATCTTAATTTTGTAATGTAGCTACTGTTGTGTTTCATTAAAAGATTTGACCTATTTTTTTCAGTTAAACTAATTGTTCAACAATTTTTTTTATTTTAGACTTCATGCAAAGAAAAAACTGATTATCTAGAGAAAATGGTTCAGAGGAATGAAAGATATAAACAAGATGTAGAGCGGTTCTATGAGCGTAAGAGACATTTAGATTTAATTGAGATGCTTGAAGCCAAAAGACCATGGGTGGTAAGTATTAATTAGTAAAGAGAAAAACAAATGGTTCTTTGAATAGCAGAGTAGTTATTACCTTATATATGTCAGGTACTTTTTTTTTGGTGGTACTGAGGATTGAACTCAGGACCTTGCACTTTCCAGGCAAGCGCTTTATTCTACTGGGCTATCTCCCTGGCCCCTGTCAGGTACTTTCTCATTTGTGCTTTATATACTACACATAATAAAACTTAAGACTTCTATTATGTAGATGTATGCTAATCACATATAATAGGTCATTACTCTTAATTCTTCCAGACTTCAGTCCTTAGCAAGTAATTCTTGGATTTGTTTTAAAAGAAAGTGTTAACAATCTGTAAATATTTATGCTTGTGAAAATTTGAGTAGACTCAGGTCACTAAGGATTTACTTGGAGTGTACACTTAGGTCACATTCATCTACAGGTGTAGCTGAGATTTCTTAACTATAGTCTTCTATTGATGTTTCATAATTTTCTTGAGGCTACCATATTCTGATCACTTGTGTGATGAGTATTTTATTACCTGTGACCAAAACTGCTAAAGATTAAGTTCTCTCAGGATGTTCCTTTTTTAGTAGTTAGAACAAAATAGTAAAACATACTTTTTTAGGGTTTTCTAAGATTCGAAAGAAATGTTTGTTAATAGGTTAAAAAAGAATATTGTAGTATTCTCTCTTCCCTGTTTCAGATTTCATTATTCTTAGACTTTCCTTTCTTCCTGTCTTTTTGAAACTTTTTCTCCCTGCACAGTTTCATTCTTTTACCCATTTTAATCTTTTGAAGTCTTTTGCTTTGTCATTTTTATTTTTTTCATAATTTTATTGAGAAACATAGCAATGAGACAGTTTCAAACCAAATTGGTAGGACTGTTTCCATAATTAACACACTGCATACATTCTTCCTAGTGGTTAATTGCTGTACAAGATGCAGACATGATATCCTATTTACAAACACTATTAGAACAAATCCCTCTATTCATTAA